TATAATATAATTTGATCTGATTCTTGTTCGTGATTAGTTGATAATATAATTTTTTTTTTACTTTGTCAAAACACTATCCATTTTCTCTTAATTTTAAATAAAATAATTTATTTATTTATTCTTTCTGTTCTCATTTTTTCCGCTATCAACTAATTTTTTTATTTGATGAAATTCAAATTTATTAAAAATATATTTAATTTCTTTTTTTTTTAATTTCTTTTTTTATAGTCAACATATTTTATCATAACATCTAGGATTAAACAATCTATTTTTTTGAATCGACATTGGATAAAAACCAATTGCAATGGTTGAAGTAGAGAAGTGGTTGTCTGATAGTAGTAATCGTACTGCATTTTTATGTTTGATTAATATTTGTCAATAAAATTATTAATAAATATCAAAATATCTTTGATTTAATGATTTGATTTTATTATTGTTAATTTTGAATATTATAATTAATTGAATTGAAGTTGTTGAATTACTCTTACTATTAAACGTCTGTCATGGCTAGGGATGAAAATAAACCACGCCAATTAATAGGAATCCACGACTTAACTTATACAAGTCTAGATTAGATTTTTTTTAAAGTAGAAAAGACCTAAGTTTTTTTATAAATTTATTTAATTAAAAAGACTATGTCACAGACAATAAAAAAAAGCCTTTTAAGCATATCAGACTGACCTATTTAAATAAATATGAATAAATTTAATATTATTATTATATTTTATTTGTACTTTGAATTAAAATTTAAAAGTAAAGTTTAGTTATCTTGAAGAACTTATGAAAATAAGTTTAAAAAAACTTATGAATAATATCATATGTAGTTTTCATAAGTTTAAGATTCTTGTACTAACTATGGATAGTTCTACTTGCAAAATTGAATACACCAATGACACACAAGCATGCTTTCGAAGCACTTGATAGGACTTTAAAAGTTGTTATGAGTATATACACAGTGACTCAAAGGATATGTTTGGTGGAAAAGTTGTTGTTTTTGGAGGTGATTTTAGACAGATTTTTATCAGTTGTCCCTCGAGGCAGTCGTTCATATATTGTACACTCTGCCATAAATGCTTCTTAAATATGGCATTCGATTCCGGTGTTAACATTAACAAAGAATATGAAGCTGCATTCTGGAACAACAAACAATGATAAAAAGAAAATTGCTGACTTTTCAAATTGGCTGTTGAGAATTGGAGAAGGAAAAGTATCTGAGCCGAATGATGGTGTTGCCGATATTGACATACCAGCTGAGCTTTTGATAACAGGATTCGAGGATTCAATTGTTGGGATTGTTAATAGTACATATCCTGATTTTATTCATAACTATTGTTTGAACGATTACCTTAAAGGTCGAACAATTCTTGCGTCTATGTTAGAAATTTTGGACTGAATAAACGACCATATTCTTGCCTTAATGCCAGCTTTTCATACTCATCCATATAATTATACCATATTGTATTTATCAATCTCTTTTCACTAAGCTATTTCACTTATCGATACAGGAGACATACATGATTATTACAGCTCAAATTCTATTGATAAGTATGAAATTCACGATGCTACTGTAGTTGATATCCTCACTCCAGAATTTCTTAGTTCCCTACATACATTAGGATGGCCTAACCATCATTTAAAGTTAAAAGTTGGAACACCTTTTATGATCATGTGAAACACTTGTTAACAGGTAATATGATTAGTGTTTTTTCTAACTAATAAGTATACTATTATCATTTTGTTTAATTTTACATATTTATTTTATGTATAGATGTATTATTAATATAAGTATTATTCAATTATGTTAATATGAAAGAATCAAAATGATTTTCATTTAATTATTATGTAATACATTTTCTTCTTTTTTTATATTTTTATTTTTATTTTACCCTATTTTTTTAATAATATATAAGTAAATTACTATAAACTAAATTATTTTTTCATTTTACTTAAAATCAAAAAATAACTTATAACTACATATATAGTTTTTTTATTTATTTTTGCTATACAATAATATCAATATTAAATAAAATGAGAGGGGCAGAACAGGTATTCGTGCAAAGGCACGAGTGTCATACTAGTTTATAATAAATAAATTATCATAATCTAGTGGTGAGGTTGCTAGTAATGAGAATGGAAGGACATAGCTTTAAATATTATATGAGACAATTATTATAAAAATGTTATGTTTTTGAATTTTAATATTTAACACAAAAACAATAAAAGTTTAATAAAAAAAAATATTAATATTAAAATAATGTAACATTGACATATAGGTAAAAATAGTGTCACGTCATATAAAATCCATTCAAATTTAAAGGGGGACGGAAATTTACAATTAAACGTATAATCTTTTTATTTGTGACAATATTGTCTTTAAGTTGTTGTGTGATAAACACCTATGGTGTACAAGAGCTTACTTCAATTATATATATATATATATATATATATATATATATATATATATATATATATATATATATATATATATATATATATATATATATATATATATATATATATATATATATATATATATATATATATATATATATATATATATATATATATATATATATATTTGTGTGTGTATATATATAATTTGAGTATTCATACATTATTTACTGAAACGTAAGAGTTATTATTTATTTATAATATAAATATGCTAGACGAATATTAACATATTTGAATTCATGTTTTATTTTCCAATCTTGCATTTCAATAATGAATTTATCCTAATTTTCAAAAGCGACGAATAAAAAAGACATGTATGAATATAAAAATTCAATGTATTTCTGAAAAACACGTTGGATTACTCGATAAATTATAAATCTTTATGCATATATAAAAAAGAAAATTATATTTTGATTTAGATGTTTTTCACCTTTTTTAAAGTTTTTTAATTTGGAATTTTTTTATTTGTGATAATATTATCTTTAATTTGTTGTGTGATAAACATCTATAATGTACACGAGTTTTCTTTATATATATATATATATATATATATATATATATATATATATATATATATATATATATATATATATATATATATATATAGTCTGTAGGGAAAAATAGTGAATTGAAACTGAAACTGAATATTTGAATTGAAGTGCTCTTTATATATAGTAGAGTCGTTGAACGCATTTGGAGTATGGATCCTCTATTCTTATCTGCAATGTAATTCTCGTATGTTAAGAATGTTCTACAAGGACTACTGGTCATTTTGGGTGGTTAGTTGGGGACCAATATGGACGGCCCGAAAAAGTTCCCCCCCAAGCCATTATTTCTACGTGGCAAGACAAGAGTTTGTTAACTTTGGCAGTCGATCGCTCTGCCATCTTCTCCTGAATAACAAGAGTAAATGTCTTAGTTTCTTAGGGATTAACGACTTTAATGCTCCATATCCCAAATGTCTTTTAAGAGGTATCCCCATTATGACCCTTGAAAACTGCAACACTTTAGTGTTGTGTGTGAGTAATTTGAAGGATTTGATAGAGTATACTCTATTTCTACTTTTTTTACGTGCTAGTATACAATTTTTGAAAAGTCAACTTCATATTTCTTCGAGCTTTCTTTCCTAGTTTGTTGTTATCTTCCTTTCTTTCCATATTTTACTTTCTTGTATTTAAAAAAATTAGTACATCATGGGTAAAAAATCACAGAAGAGTTCTTAATTATCCTAGAAAAATGGTTAATCATTGTCGGTGGACTCTGCTTATTCTTCAACCAATTCTATTTTTACCAGGGGTGGTAATCTTGATGGAGCTTTTCTTGAGGTAGGCCTATCTGCAGATTATGGTGTCTTGTCGTCTGGCAAAATTGACCGCATTTGCATTGAATACGACGATTGCACCATCCCCTTTTACGAATGTCTCTTCTCGATCTCGAACCTTCAATTTCCTTTTAATGATTTTGATATGGAGGTTTTTAAACATCTGATGGAGGCTCCGTCACAACTCAATCCAATGATTTGGGCGTATTTGAAATCCTTTTAGTATTAGTATGAATACTTGAAGGGGAAGCCTTCCCGAACCTTTTTCTTCAATATTTTTAAAGTTCATCGGGGATATATGACTCACCCACGAGGTAGAAGCTTAATTTCTTTGGTGGCAGCCGTCAGGGGCTTCAGGACTTTTTATGAGGACCTACATCATTTTGAAAATTGGTTCTTTCTATTCAACCATATCCGCCCAAAGGCTCGTGCAATGGCTTATGCTATTGAGAATGGAGCAAAGGGTAAATGTGATGAGTTGTTCCCCAAGTACTGGGCCAAGAATAATTTCCTCATGAGAAATGAGTTGTATGTGTACAAAGAGTAAAACCTTTCCCAATAAGAGCTATTTTAGAAGAAATATTTAATGAGCTTTATCAACGACCTAGGTTGTCTTGGGCTTGCTATTCCCCAAGATGAAGCTAACCGAAAATGATTGAAACGCTTCATCGATACATGCTTGCTGTTAGGTGCTAGTACTCGAGAAGAAAGGAAGATTATTGTTGGTAAGTTTTAAAAGTTCTCGGCCTCTTTTCTTTCAATATTCTTACTCATGAGGTGTTTGATTTGATAATGATTGTGTAAATTCAATGAAGGATGAAGTAATGATCTAGCTTCTAAGGTGGGGAATATGGCTAACATGCACCATAATAGGTCCTTCCACTACTTCAGAGCCCTCTAAAAGTTCTACTACTTTGAATGCTCTTCAAAGAAAAAAAATGCTTCAGATCTCCCGACCCTTCCATGGATAATGGGGTTGGATCCCCGCTGCTCCAAAGAACACTGGGTTCGTCCTTTAGAGGAGGATTGCTTATACTTGACTAATTTTTCCGGGCGTGCCATAGTGGAAGAACTGGAGACTATGACTCAATATACTCGACATGACTCTGCAACTTTGGCCCTAGGTGGAACCACTTATTAGGATGCTCTTTGATCTGACCAACAACATGAGGAAGATAATCGATTGTAAGAAATTGTTCTTAATCTGATGCTTAAGTGGGGTACATACATGCAAGAAATACAAACATCTTCCACCTCTCTTATTGGGATAAGGGACACTTTGCTTCCCTTTAATCTCCTTAGTTCTCCTGTCGACCAAATGACTCTTCTGGAAAAGAGCTTGGCAAGGAAGGAAAAGTCCCTAGCTTCTTCCCGGGGTACCTTGAAGTCTACTAAGGCGTCTCTTTTAATAGCACAAGGAGAGCTACAGTCTTTGCAGATTGAGAATGATTCTTTGACTCAGTGGTTGGCCGATTGTATGATCTCCAACCTTGGGGGAGGTTTGGTGGTCCTTTGAGAATGCCTTGCAAAAAATGGAGCATTTTCACCATCCTCTGCATGTTTTGAGGGAGCATGTTCATCCGAATCTAATGATGAAAGATGGGAAGGTCGTCTCCCTACAGGGTATCCATGTCGCCTTTTTTGTGTGAATAATATGTAATGTACCTTTGAAATGGAAAAATATATGTGTATATATTTGGACTGAAGTGTTCTTTTACCTGGATGAGGTGTATTTATGTCATCTCGATTCTAGAGCTTCAGATTCTATGTGAACTTACGAGGTATTCTCTTGAAGTTTATTGGATGTCTCTGGGGTTGTTTTTGGCCAATGTTTGGTGTCCCCTTCCCTTGTTCAGGTGAAAACCTGGTCCGAGGTCAACGTGTGACCAACCCACCACATCCGTTGGACTAGCTAGCTTCCAGATGGGATGAACTGTTATTGCTTGCAGGAAATTGATTATTTTAGTCCTAGGCGTGTGGCATTTTTGACAACATCCATAACTGTGGGTAATTGATTATTGTAGTCGAGCACGAGGCATTTGCGACAACACTCCTAAATATGGATAATTGATTTCTTTAGTCATACGCGCAAGGCTTTAGTAACATCACCCTTAATTATGTGGAATTGATTGCTAAAGTCGCACACACGGGGTGTTTAGACTTCACCCATGAATTTCTTTGTGTGTAATATATGATGTGGGGAGTCGAATATTGTAGTTGCACACACAAAGTGTTTGCGACAACACCCCTTACTTTTTACGTTGGGGCTTTGATAACTTTGGTCATTCCCTAGATTCACCTCTCATGTATAAGATAACAAAGAACTGAACATTTCAGAACTTGCAACTTCATGCTTTAGAAGTAAGCCTTTATATAAGGAAGGTGATCATACACATATAATACTTAATACACATAGGAAACAAAACATAACCATGCGGGATAACCGCCACTTATTTTCCCTATTTTCCATTTGGATTGCTCAACCACGTTTTAGGGGATGAGTATCCATGCTTATGAGCGAACGATTAGAGAAGCCACGTAAAATTCCATGGTTACACCTTCTCTTTGGTCTCGCTGGAGTGCTTGGTAGATTCTCTTTGCTCCTTTAAGATTAGAATTGATTGTGACCAATTTTCTCTGAAGATTATGGTACATGAGTTTAAGATGCAATGACGAGGATATATAATCCAAGGTAGTCACGAAGGGTCTCCCTAGAATGCGACTATCGATGCTCCTGTAAGAACTGGTGAGGAAATACTAATTAATTGTCTGGACCTCCATCATTTTTCCTATTGATATCATCAGCTCTAGTATCCTTATGGGCGGGTGTTCATACCATTGAATACATGCAAGTTTGAACCTTTATGTAAGAACAAGATTTGGTTCTGCATCTTGCCTTGATTTTTGATGATAACATTACATGGGTGATTAAATAACAATTTAGTACCCTAATGGTTTGCTTAGTATGTAGCTTTTGCTAACAGGTTCTGACTATGAAGAATTGACGTGTGATGTCATCAGATTCTGGACTCAACACACTGAAGGATGCAAGTGCATGTGCCATTGTGTATAATGCTTCTTAAAACAACGACTCTAATGAACATTAGTTTTATTTCTTCTAACCGTGACTCTATAGTATAACTTCTATTATGTTCTCAAGCTCCGAAGGTTCCAAGTTCTCTTGCTTAAGTTATTAAGATTCTAAAGACAAGGTTTTGTTGAACGAGTTCTGAAGATTCTGAAGACATAGCCCCAAAGACCAACATGCTGAAGATTCTGAAGAAAAGGTTTAGTAGAACGAGTTCTGAAGATTCTAAAGACCCAGGTTCTGAAGACTGGTTTTGATCCTTCTAAGCATGCTTCAACTCTTACATACTCTGAAGCCTACAAAGATTAGAAGAGAATATCAAATGTGTCACTTGAAGTGATAGTACAAAGTCATATCCTTCCACTACCATGTTTTTATGGCACAAGGACTATACTATTGGTACTATGTTGTCTACCACTCACACTGACCGTTGCAAGAAGACAACTGGAATTTCGGTATTCCTATTCTACCCTCCAACGAATTTGTTTCTAGTTATAAAAGGAAAACATGGAAGAATTGGAAAAGTTGAACAACTTTGAAGAAACTCACACTGATTCAAATTGCTGAAATGCTGCCAAAACAACTATGTAATTTTTGTAAAGCAAGGAAATTTTTTTCATTAACTTACTAGCAAGGATCTGTTGTTTGTTAACTTGCTTAACATTGTTGTGTTATCATTTGTTCTTCATTTCTTTTGTAATATGCTTTTGAGAAGCAATCTTGTAAACACAAAAACTTGTATTCAATAGTTAGTTGATTGTTCCTTGAGTGACTAAGTGTTACTCTGTATACTCAAGAAGTCATTGACAGTTTTTCTTTGAGGTTATGTTCCTTAAGACAAGGGATTTAGTCAATATTCTCAAGAAGTCATTGAAAGATTGTCTTTGAGGTTTTATTCCTTGAGAGACTAGATATTTAGTCAGGATTCTCAAGAAGACATTCACAGTTTGTCTTTATGGATTGTAATCAGTTTGATTATAGTGGATTAAGTTCTTGATTGAGAAAGACAAATCACCATGGTGGATGGACATGATTAACTTTGTTAATAGTGAACCAAGATAATAATAATTGTGTTCATTTATTTTTGTTCTTGTGTTTACTTCTTGTGGTTGGTTTTGAAAAGATTTTATTTCTAGAAACCCAATTCACACACATATTTCTTGTGTTTCTTGCACCTTCAATTAGAATCAGATCTCCGATTTTGGTATTGATAGTTATCAAACACTTAACCGTGTCAGATAAAGATCCAGAAGTTATATAAACACTATGGTGATTCCACCACCTATTGTTGTTGTGCCTATTCTCAATGAGAGAGAAAACTATAATGCTAAACCTCCCTTTTTTGATGGTGAAAGGTTTGATTATTGGAAAGATAGACTAGAAAGTTTCTTTCTAGGTCATGATGTTGATCTTTGGGATATGGTAGTCAATGGCTATGAACATCCTATAGAAAAGAGGAAATAAGATTGAAAGGAGATCTAAGAACGGCCAGTAAAATAAAAATGATAAGAATCATCATAAAGCAAGAACTATTTTATCAAATGCGATTTCTTATACTGAGTATGAGAAGATAACAAATAGAGACTAAACTAAGTCTATATTTGATTCTTTAAAAATGACTCAAGAAGGAAACACTCAAGTTAAGGAGACCAAAGCTCTGGCTTTGATTTAGAAATATGAAGCCTTTAAAATAGAAAAAAGATAAAATGGTTGAGACTATGTTCTCAAGGTTTCAAACTTTGGTTGCAGGACTTAGAGTTTTGAACAATGGATACTCTACTTTTGATCATATGGAGAATATTATCAGAAGCTTACCATCTAAATGCAGGCCTATGGTAACTACTCTTAAATTGGCTAAAGATCTGAACAATACTTCAATAGAAGAACTGGTGAGTTCTTTGAGAAGTTATGAGATAGAGATGGAACAAGATGAACCTCAGAAGAGAGGTAAATATTTTGCTCTTAAATCCCTCACAAGATCTGAGAAGACAAGAGCTCTTCAAGAAGAAAAGATCGAGGATTCCGAAGAAGATTCTGATGAAGATGAGTTGTTACTGCTGTCCAGAAGGGTCAACCAACTCTATAAGAGAAAGCAAGACAACTGTTTTGGAGGATCTAGAAGGACTGGTGGTCTCTTCGAGTCCACTTCTAGTAAAATGAAGTTTGGTAGTAGCAAGGATGTTACTTACTACGAGTGTAATAAGCCAGATCATTATAAGAATTATTGTCTCTAGCTCAAGAAGGACAATCCCCAGAAGAAAGATTTCTAAGGAAATAAGAAAGGGATAATGATTACATGGGATGATTCATATTCATCATAAGATAATTCCAAAGAAGAACAAACTAACTTAGCATTGACGGCTAGCGTTAAAGCTTCTGATGAGGTGAGCCATCCAAAAGCTGTTGCTGACTCTGATTCAGACATAAAAGAGCTATTTTCTGACCTTTCTCACTCTTAATTAACTTGTTCTTTACTTGAAATTCTGGAAAAACACGAGTTGCTTAAGAACACATTCAAGGAACTTAAAAAGGTCCATCAATTTGCTTCTAAAGAACACAACAAACTTAAGGAAGAATTTTCATTTTTAAGAGAAGAAAATTATATTCTTAAGATTGATTACTCTGTTCTCAAAAGAAAGAGTTCCAGTCTTGAGAAGGAAGTTCCTCCAGAAGCTTCTGTGAGCACTGGTGATGTCATAAAGAAATATGACAAATCATTCCAGAAATTTCTTAATAGAAGCCTGGGTAGAAGCTTCATGTCTTAAATGATCTATGGCGTGAGCAGAAACGATACAAAAGGTATTAGTTATGATTTTTATGAAGAATATGATTCTGAAAAAGAAGATAATACAAATACTCTTCATTCTTATTTTGTCTCTGCTCGTTCTAATCCTAAGGTAAAAGAAAAGGTACAAGTCTTTTAGTTCCTAAAGCTAAGCCTAAAGCAAAGTCATTTTTTAAGAATGCAATGAAATATGTTTATTCTGCTCCTAAGCCCAAGGTTGTGAACAACTCTAGAAAGACTAACAAAAAGGAACACAAGAAACTATGGGTACCTAAGAAGCAGATAATCTATATTACAGATATCCTTAACAGCGATGTCAAGACACAAATCATGGTACCTGGACTCTAGCTTCTTGCGACACACGACGAAAGGAAGGCATATGTTTCAAAGCTCCATAACATCATAGGAAGGGAAAATCATAGGCTTCAGAACAATTGGTAATAGTTCTCTCCTTCTATTAATAATGTTATGCTTTTTGATGGGTTAATGCATAACTTATTGTCTATAAGTCAATTAAGTGACAATGGTTATGATATAATCCTTAATCAAAACTCCTGTAAGGTAGTTAGTCAGAAGGATGGCTCAATCCTTTTCAATGGAAAGATGAAGAACAACATCTATAAGATTATACTTTCTGATCTTAAAGAGAAAAACGTAAAATATATTTTGTATTTTAATGAAGAGAAATGGATATGGCATAGAAGTTTGGGCCATGTTAGCATGAGAAGAATTTCTCAGCTAAATAAGCTTGATCTTATCAAAGGCCTTCCAAAGCTGAAGTTCTCTTCAAAAGCTCTTTGTGAAGCATGTCAGAAAAATAAGTTTTCAAAAACTTCTTTTAAAGCAAAGAATGTTGTTTCTACTTCTAGGCCATTGGAGCTTCTGCATATTGACTTGTTTGGACCAATGAAATCTGATTCTCTCAATGGTTTGAAGTACGGATTAGTCATTATTGATGACTACAACCGTTGGACATGGGTTAAGTTTCTTAAACACAAGGATGCATCAAATTTCGTGTTTACTACCTTATGTTCTCAAG